TTTCAGGTTATGTCGATATAGGACTCGTTTTACTGTGGATATAGATACTTTTGTACCTGTTTCCTCCAGCATCTTCACAAGGTCCTTTGCTGTTGTTCTGGGATTGATTTGCACTTTTCGCACCAAAGTACGTTCATCTGTAGTAGACAGAACGCGTCTCCTTCCTGAGCGGTATGACGGCTGCGTGGTCCCATGGTGTTTATACTTGCGTACTATTGTTCGTACAGATGAACGTGGTACCTTCAGGCGTTTGGAAATTGCTCCCAAGGATGAACCAGACTTGTGGAGGTCTACAATTCTTTTTCTGAGGTCTTGGCTGATTTCCTTTGATTTTCCCATGATGTCAAGCAAAGAGGCACTGAGTTTGAAGGTAGGCCTTGAAATACATCCGCAGGTACACCTCCAATTGACTCAAACGATGTCAATTAGCCTATCAGAAGCTTCTAAAGCCATGACATCATTTTCTGGAATTTTCCAAGCTGTTTAAAGGCCCAGTCAACTTAATGTATGTAAAATTCTGACCCACTGGAATTATGATACAGTGAATTATAAGTGAAATAATCTGTCTGTAAACAATTGTTGGAAAAATTACTTGTGTCATGCACAAAGTTGATGTCCTAACCGACTTGACAAAACTATAGTTTGTTAACAAGAAATTTGTGAAGTGGTTGAAAAACAAGTTTTAATGACTCCAACCTAAGTGTATGTAAACTTCTGACTTCAACTGTATAGCATACCTGAACAATGAGCCAGTCATGGGGTTCCATCTGTCAGCTTGTCCCCTTGTGTGTTGGGTTTGATGTGCTTCTCGAAGAAGTCTTGAGCTTCCCTGGCAGTGGAAAACCTGTGTGTTGTGTTTTGGAAGGTCAAGATGAGTTTTGCCGGGTGGATGAAGCCGCATCTCAGGTTTAGCTTGTATAGATGGGATCTCATCACGTTGTAGGTCTCCCTCTCTTTTAGCAGTTCAGCACTCTTCCCTGCATAGGTCAGATCCCCGGATTCCACTGCAAGGAGAACAATTCGGTGCTTGATTTCAAAGCTGTGGATCCGTATAATCATACGGCGAGAGCCATTGTGGAGTTGACCGGTATGCAATGTTAATCTGCAGCATGGGACTTAGTTTCTCCTGCCCGAACAGTTCATAGACAGTTCATCTGCTAAATGGCATATTATTATTATAGAAAAGATTGCTCATGAAGGAAGTTGGGTTGCCCACTTCCACACCAGTTTCAAGTCCTGTGACAAACACATTGAATTTACGGGAATTATTTTTGAGTGATTACGTTTTCTCTTTTAGGAGTTTGATTATTTCCCCTTTCAACTTAGCTTGCGCTGTTTGCAGGTCATGGAGTCGTACCTCTGTTGCATTGGCTGTCTTCTCCAGACTTTCCACCTTAGTTGAATAGGAATCCACTTTAGGAGTGAGCACTACCAACAATTCATTTACCGGTTTTAATTGTAAATCGAGGGCAGAAGTAATCTCCTCACGAACAATCTCTCGTATAGTAGCGGCCAGTTCTTTCTGTTGTCTGGTGTTGAGAGCCGCCATTTTCCCACAGTGGAATTGTGGACGGACAAGTTCTAGCTGCTGATGCGAAATAGACCTGCTAGTTATTTCTTGTCACACAATGAATTTCCCACACCTTAATATGATGGTTAGTATTGACAAGTTTTAGGAAATAAGTCAGTTAATTCATAGTAATTTGCAAAAGAAAGCCATGATAAGGCCACATATTGCAATGCTTGCCACCAGAACCGGAACCAGATTTTTTCCCCCTCAATATTATTGCATTTATTATTATTGTATTTAACATTTTTTGTGTGTTTTTGTGTTCCCTTCCCCAAAACTATAATCCCACAAACATTCAGCAAGTGTCATAATATTTTTTTTTTTTTTCATGATGTTAGTCTGTTTGCATCATTCATTTCCACACTGTTAGGCTAAATTACAGAGAAAATGTATCAAATTTCAAAATGTTAAAATACGTTTGATATAGAAGTTAAAATCCTCTTCAAGTTGAACTATTATGCTAGCTCAATTTCAATCACCCACAGAGCTATGGTTCATTTAGGCTCCCAAATGTCCACCCTGTTAGGTTCCACCCTGTTAGGATTATGCACCTAACAGTGGTGAAGAATTATTGGATTAATTTTTTTGGTGCCTAAGCTTGATCAATATGTTTTTCTGAAAGACAAAAATGTACTTTTTCTGATGGAATGCTAAAACAAAAAGGAAAAAATATACTTATTTCTCAAATGTTATGAGGTCCAAAAGGCACCGGAATGTAGGAATGACCCAGCAGCTGTTTTTTCTTTCAAGTGTTTATTCTAAGAACAGCCACACACCAACCATGCAAGCGAGGGCTATTAATCTTGAGCTGACAGCTGTTTTGCACTGTTTTGCTATGGCTGTATTCCTCAATCTAGCAAGAAGGCAATAGAGCTCCCCAGCTTGTAGTCCTAAAACCTCTAAATGAGTTACCTCTTGTTCATTCAGCCATCCCTATGGGAAAGATTAATGGCGAAAGAATAGGGTTTTGGAATAAACGCTGAAAATAAAGTCTGAGGTTAACACAGGCTTAAGAGATCTTATATGTTTTGTTCTATGAGATAATAACAGTCAGTTAACATTACCTTTATGAATTATGAAGCCTTTATGTGCTTTTTTAATAACATTCATTCTTCAAAATTCACAAAAAGTGACATTAGCTGATGAAGATTATCTCATAGAACAAAACCTATAAGATTTCCTAAGCCTGCGTTTACCACAGATGTTATTTTCAGCATTTTTTATCAAAAAACCCTACAAAAATACCATTCATTTTCTCCATAGGCTTTTTTGTCCAACTAACCATGGCGGAGTTAGTGCCTAAAAAAAGACACCATTCCAATTTCTCTATATATTTTGAATAACTTAGTAGTGTCCCCCCCTCCAAGCTTTCACCTGGAATAGTTTATTTATGTCTGAGAACAAAACTATTTTTCAACCCATATGATCTCATATATAAAAAAGTGTAATAAACCTTATACAAATATGATGATATCATTGTCAACTAACGACTTGAATGAATAAGCCTTTTCATACGTTATAATATGTCTATATATAGTTACAATCAGTTTTAGGAAAATCTACCAAAAATATTTCACATCCTTTATTACTTTACCCAAAATATCATCACATTAGGGATAGTCAAAATTTGTGAAATTTGTGAACTTCCAAATCAACATTTTGGCCATTCGAACAGCATGTGTCCACCCGAGGGGAGATGTGAGGCGAGATGTGCTGTGAAAAGGGCCCTTTTTCTTGGTGCTACTGAAGTGCTTTGTGTCTGTCTCCAGGGCCTGATTGATGCAGGGGTTTACAGGGGCCTATGATTTCTTAATCACGCCTTGGCGTGACCCTGGACAACACCCTGTCGTTCTCCGCTAACATCAAGGCGGTGACCCGATCCTGCAGGTTCATGCTCTACAACATTCGGAGAGTACGACCCTGCCTTACACAGGAAGCGGCACAGGTCCTAATCCAGGCACTTGTCATCTCCCGTCTGGATTACTGCAACTCGCTGTTGGCTGGGCTCCCTGCCTGTGCCATTAAACCCCTACAACTCATCCAGAATGCCGCAGCCCGTCTGGTGTTCAACCTTCCCAAGTTCTCTCACGTCACCCCGCTCCTCCGCACACTCCACTGGCTTCCAGTTGAAGCTCGCATCTGTTACAAGACCATGGTGCTTGCCTATGGAGCTGTGAGGGGAACGGCACCTCCGTACCTTCAGGCTCTGATCAGTCCCTACACCCAAACGAGGGCATTGCGTTCATCCACCTCTGGCCTGCTGGCTCCCCTTCCTCTGCGGAAGCATAGTTCCCGCTCAGCCCAGTCAAAACTGTTCGCTGCTCTGGCACCCCAATGGTGGAACAAGCTCCCTCACGACGCCAGGACAGCGGAGTCACTCACCACCTTCCGGAGACATTTGAAACCCCACCTCTTTAAGGAATACCTGGGATAGGATAAAGTAATCCTTCTACACCCCCCCCCCTAAAAATAAATAAATAAAATAAATAAAAAAATAAATAAATAAAAATAATAATAATTGTAAAGTGGTTATCCCACTGGCTATAGGGTGAATGCACCAATTTGTAAGTCGCTCTGGATAAGAGCGTCTGCTAAATGACGTAAATGTAAAATGTAAATGTTAATCCAGCCCCATCTGTCTCAGAAGTAAAAACAAGTTTTTGACTTAAACACAACATCACTTATTTACTTAAGTGTGTAAGTCGCATTCTTTATCGTACAGCTATGAAAGTTATATATTTAAAACCACCTGATCAATAGGAATCCAGCGATGTCTGTGTCATGTCTGTGTCGGATCAGTCCACTGAGAGCAGTTTTTCTAAGGACCGCCCCTTTGACGTGACATTGCAATGAGCAGATTTTATTTTATTGTAATGACGCAGCCAACCACTGGATGGAGCCAGAGATGCGTTTATTCAGAGAAGCCTCAGTGTCCTATAACTGTCTTTTTTTTCTGATTTATACACTATCTCTCTAATCATCTACTCTCTCTCTTCCCCCCTCCTTTAATCTCCCTCCCTCCATCTCCATCTCTCTCTCTCTCTCTCTCTCTCTGCCTCCCTCTCAGCTGAGAGAGCTCATTGATGCCAAATAGGCTTAGGAGCATTGCTATGGCAACAGGGAGTCGTAAGAGGCTTCACCAAGCACTTCATCAGGAGCTGTGATCCGCTGTTCCCCTTTGAGACAGTGCCCCCCCCCCCCAACCTCTGGGAACAAGAAACGACAGGCCAGGCCTCCGGGAAGGAGGGCACTGTGTGTGTGTGTGTGTTTTGTTTGTTTGTGTGTGTGTAAGCAACGACAGGCCACGGCTCTAGGTAGGAGGGGACTGTGTGTGTATGTGCTTGTGTGTTTGTGTGAAAGGGGTGGGGGTTACTGTATAAACCGATTAAGAGTGTGTGTGCTCAGATACTTCACAAGCAGGAGGGGGATTATCAGAGTCCCGTGCGACCGACAGCAATACGTATTTCACCAACATCTCTCTCTACATCTGTCTTTTGGTTCAACGACCTATCATATATTCACTCCACTGTGAATTCACTTCCTGCTATAGGTCCCGACACTAACAAGAGTTCAGGTAAGCAGAGTGTATTCATACAATGCTTTGTTTTAGTTCAAGGGGAAATTTGTAGTAGCAGTATGGACTACAACACTGTATGTCTCAAGTGAGATTTCTGGTAGTCAGGGTGTTAAAAGTGGGAAATATAGTTTCAGAATAGAATGTTAATATCATTTCTCCAAATCAGTCACATAAATGTATTTGTTGTATGAATTAACTGTCTGAGAAAGATGCACTATCCACTAGATAGATCCACTAGAAATCTAATAACACCTACCTACCATTGCATAACAATTAAATAACAGGCAAGCCTATTTACTTCAGGAAAATTCCATGTGTTTGAGTTAATTAGTACGTTATTAGCCTTGTTTATACCTGGTGCTAACATGCAAACTGTGTCCGGATCATGTTCACATTCTGATAGTGCCCACATTTTCAGACAGGTGTAGACGATTAAAAGAGGTATTGTGAACTGATTTCGATCAGATCTTATAAGTGTAAATGGGCAAGATCAGGACGAATGAGGCATGTAAGCACCAGGTATAGATGGGGCTATTTTGGGCAGGAGGACAAAAGAGAGTGGGACTCAGTTGGTAGAACATGGCGCTTGCAACGCCAGGGTTGTGGGTTCGATTCCCACGGGGGGCCAGTATGAAAAAGGTATGCACTCACTAACTGTAAGTCGCTCTGGATAAGCGCGTCTGCTAAATGACTAAAATTTTAAATGTAGTCCCAGGGTTCCAGGAAACAGGAGTCAGTACTAGGAAATAGCTATATATTCACGAGTTAACCTTACAATGACACTTGATCAATATGGAAAGTGGCCGGGATTAGCATTGACGGCAGGATGGAAATACATGTGAACATAATGATGATAATAATGTTATAATAAGCACTTTATGGGGTATGAATGTTTGAAAAGACACAGCAGACTGAATACATGTAAAATTTGTAAATGAATGCATAAGATACATGTACAGTTGGTCCCATTCTTGATTGATCCATGAAGTAGTGCACTATGTAGGGAATGGGTTGCCATTTGGAACACATCCACAATGAATAGTGGATGTGAAGGGACAGGATTTGATGAGCTAAGGCTTGTACAGATACCTGAATAACAGGAGTGTGTGTGTGTGAGAGACAGCTATCTCTGTGTATTTTTTTATCTGTGATAACAGCCTGTCCGGGGGAGACGGCCTCCAAGCTGTTGTCGAAAAACCGTCATTAGCTAGCGAGGTACTCACAGTACCTGTACCTCCCATGGGTTACATTGATGTGATTGCAACCCAGGCTAAACAGACTATCTAGACATCCACCCAATCCATCCAACGATATCATGAAATTACAAACAATCCTCTCATATACAAAATGTAGGATTCCCTGTGTTAAAATTATGTACTATGTACTTAAGTACAGTGCCATTTCCATTTAGTTGACCTGGTTCATCAAATATGCAGTATATTTAGAAAACGTCATTGCACAAAAGCAACACTATCAGACAAATAATCCATACCACAACCTAGCAAACACAGTAGACTTTTCTTTTAGTGAGGGGGCTAAGAATTACAGTGCATTCGGAAAGTATTCAAACCCCTTGACTTTTTCCATATTTTGTTACGTTACAGCCTTATTCTAAAATGAATAAAAACATTGTTTTCCCTCATCAGTCTACACACAATACCCCATAATGACAAAGCAAAAACAGATTTGAGACATTTTAGCAAATGTATTAATAATAATAAAATAAAATAATAAATATGAATATTAAATTTACATAACTATTAAGACCCTTTAGTCAGTAGTTTGATGAAGCACCTTTGGCAGCGATTACAGCCTTGAGTCTTCTTGGGTATGACGCTGCAAGCTTGGCATACCTGTATTTGGGGAGTTTCGTCCATTTTTCTCTGCAGATCCTCTCAAGCTCTGTCAGGTTGGATGGGGAGTGTCGCTGCACAGCTATTTTCAGGTCTCCAGAGATGTTCGATCGGGTTCAAGTCTGGGCTCTGGCTGGGCCACTCAAGGACATTCAGAGACTTGTCCCGAAGCCAGTCATGCGTTGTCTTGGCTGTGTGCTTAGGGTCGTTGTCCTGTTGGAAGGTGAACCTTCGCCCCAGTCTGAGGTCCTCATCAAGGATCTCTCTTTACTTTGCTCCGTTCATCTTCCCTCGATTCTGACTAGTCTCCCAGTCCCTGCCGCTGAAAAACATCCCCACAGCATGATGCTGCCACCAACATGGGATGGTGCCAGGTTTCCTTCAGACATGACGCTTGGCATTCAGGCCAAAGAGTTCAATCTTGGTTTCATCAGACCAGAGAATCTTGTTTCTCATGGTCTGATAGTCCTTTAAGTGCCTTTTGGCAAACTCCAAGCGGGCTGTCATGTGCCTTTTACTGAGGAGTGGCTTCCATCTGGCCACTCTACCTTAAAGGCCTGATTGGTGGAGTGCTGCAGAGATGGTTGTTCTTCTGGAAGGTTCTCCCATCTCCACAGAGGAACTCTGGAGCTCTGTAAGAGTGACCATCGGGTTCTTGGTCACCTCCCTGACCAAGGCCATTCTCCCCTGATTGTTCAGTTTGGCCGGGCGGCCAGCTCTAGGAAGAGTCTTGGTGGTTCCAAACTTCTTCAATTTAAGAATGATGGAGGCCACTGAGTTCTTGGGGACCTTCAATGCTGCAGAAATGTTCTGGTACCCTTCCCCAGATCTGTGCCTCGACACAATCCTGTCTCTGAGCTCTATGGACAATTCCTTCGACCTCATGGCTTGGTTTTTAGTCTGACATAAACTGTCAACCGTGGGACCTTATATAGAAAAGTGTGTGCCTTTTCAAATCATGACCAATCAATTGAATTTACCAGAGGTGGACTCCAATCAAGTTGTAGAAACATCTCAAGTATGATCAATGGAAACAGGAAGCACCTGAGCTCAATTTCGAGTCTCATAGCAAAGGGTCTGCTTGTTTTTGCTTTGTCATTATGGGGTATTGTGTGTAGATTGATGAGGAAAATGTTTTATTTAATCAATTTTAGAATAGGGCTGTAACGTAACAAAATGTGCAAGAAGTGAAGGGGTCTGAATACTTTCCGAATGGACTGTATGCCATGTACTGTTCTAGAGAGGGAGTACAGAATTATGCCATGTTCTCTTCTTACGCTCTGGCTTCTCCCACGCAGCACAGGATACAAGGCGACAACAGCGATGGCCTCGTGGTTCAGTTGGAGCGGCGAGCCGGACTACCGGAGTCCACGGCGGGACCCATCTGAAGTGGTCACAGACACCCTGATGCTGGAGCTCAGCTGGCAGCTGAAGGAGGCAGAGAGGATGCAGCGTGAGAGGGACAACGAGTGCCGGCGCCTCCAGACAGGAGTGGACTACAGCTGGCTGGTCAACACGCCACGCAACACCTACGATGTGTCGGCTGGCGAGAGGCTGGGCCTGGAGGACCTGTGCTCCAAGGTGCATCCATCCTACTGTGGAGCCGTCATACTGAGGTGAAGAACCCTTGTCTTGACCTTAGTTGTTTCTTTACTTAACCCCATAATCTACACTGGCCTTCTGGTCAAGTTATCTATCCAACCCATGACCCCCATTGATTCGATGCTGTTCTCATGATTACCCTCTTACTCACCGAACCAACCCTCTGACCAAGGTCGTGTTCAGTAGGGCATGCAATGGAAAACAAAAGTGAGCATTTCTTATTCAACAAGTCTAGGTTGTCCCTTCCTGTTTTAGTCCATTTGATGCCAAATTAACACTACCTTGCTCGGCACAAAGCAGTCCAAATTGGGAAAGGTGAAGCTATCGATTGGTTGTCTCAGGTGTCTTGCACAAATTGCTAGTTGGTGCTAGTTGATCCATATGTGGAAAGGTGGTACTGACCTAGGTGTTATCTGAGGGCTCAGTCAGGTGATAATTGAATATTACCTACAGGTACTGGAAGGAAGCCCATTGGGGAATGAGAGGTGGTTTCTGGTAAATCAACTCCCTGGTTTTATACATGTGCAGAGGATCATTATTTCTGGACCATTGTGAAAAACATATGAAGTGCAGTATAATGTAGCTGTTGAGATAGAGTTAAGATATTTGATGGTGATTTTCCTTCAGTGGAGAGAAAATTCACCCACATGAATATTGAAAAAGCAGAGAGGGAGAGTGAGTTGGTGGAGAGAACAGAAAAAGCTGGAGGCCAATCGGCCAAATCAACAGGAGTAAAGGGCCGGTGGGGGCTGGCCTATTTAAAGGCCTCCTAAGAACTTATCAGCCTTGTCTTGAGAGGAGTAAGTGGCTTTAGTTGGCAGGCTTTCCTGTCTCTCCCCCTGCCCCGCTGTTCATGCAGACAGAGGGGCCATCATTAGCTATTTACCTGCTATACTGGCTGATGGGCAAGGGACTCGAGAGCTCTGATGATGTCACAAAAGCATGGGGAAAAGCAGAGAGAAGCTCTTCCGATATACAGGTCTGCCAAAATAAAGGAAACACTTGAGTAAATGAGGGATGCAAAGTATATTGAAAGCAGGTGCTTCCATACAGTTGTGGTTTTCTGAATTAATTAAACAATTAACATCCCATGCTTAGGGTCATGTATAAAAATGTCCAGTTGCCCATTATTTTGGCTTCCATGGCTAGAAGAAGAGATCTCAGTGACTTTGAAAGAGGGGTGGCAAAGTAGCATAGTGGGTTTAAAGGGTGTGTGTCTGTGTGTCTCAGTCACCAGATCTCAATCCAATTGAACAATTACGGGAGATTCTGGAGCGGCGCCTGAGAAAGCGTTTTCCACCACCATGTGGTCCTCTGTAGCTCAGCTGGTAGAGCACGGCGCTTGTAACGCAAAGGTAGTGGGTTCAATCCCTGGGACCACCCATACACAAAAATGTATGCACGCATGACTAAGTCGCTTTGGATAAAAGCGTCTGCTAAATGGCATATTATTATTATTATTATTATCAACAAAATACCAAATTATGGAATTTCTCGTGGAAGAATGGTGTCGCATCCCTCAATAGAGTTCCAGACACTTGTAGAATCTATACCAAGGCACATTAAAGCGTATCTGGCGGCTCGTGGTGGCTCCTGTAAGTCGCTCTGGATAAGAGCGTCTGCTAAATGACTAAAATGTAAAAAATGTAAATGTAACACCCTATTAAGACACTTTATGTTGGTGTTTCCTTTATTTTGGCAGTTACCTGTATAAAAGGCTTTTTTGGATCAAAGGTTTTTCCAGTGCATTAGTGATAGCACATGTTGTGGTTGTACAGTGAGAATGGTAAAAGCTGGTAAGTGGAATAGCAAGAGCTCATCCCCTTCCCACGCGTTTCAAATGTATGCTTTTTTGACCCCTCCATTAGCATGCCGTTTTTCCCCTGAAACTATAACCAGGCAAAGTGAAACAAAGCTATCGATTGCAGCGGGTGGCTGAAGGTCTCTTGGTTTGTACTATTTTAAAATCCACAGATTAAACATCCATCTATCCAGATGCATGTGTATTGCGGGTGGTTGGGAACATTTTTACATTTACATTTTAGTCATTTAGCAGACGCTCTTATCCAGAGCGACTTACAGTTAGTGCATACATTTTTATTTTATTTTTTTCATACTGGCCCCCCCGTGGGAATCGAACCCACAACCCTGGCGTTGCAAACGCCATGCTCTACCAACTGAGCTACATCCCTGCCGGCCATTCCCTCCCCTACCCTGGACAACGCTGGGCCAATTGTGCGCCGCCCCATGGGTCTCCCGGTCGCGGCCGGCTACGACAGAGCCTGGATACAAACCAGGATCTCTAGTGGCACAGCTAGCACTGCGATGCAGTGCCTTAGACCACTGTGCCGCTTGCGTGTTGAGTAACCCTGCCTAAGACCTGAAGACTTGTGTTGGCTCCTTGTATGAATTCCTAGGCTTTAGCTCGGTGGGCTTGAAATGTATTGTGGTACGCAAGATACCCGGGTTTGAACCCTGGCCAGTAACATGAAGACCTACGTTGGCTCCCTGAGTTACTTCCTAGGCTGGAGCTCAGGGAGCTAACCTAACACAGTCATGTAGCGCAAAGGAAACTTGTTTCAAAATTGCTGGTACTTTCAATAAATTCCCTGGTTTCCCCGAAGTCCCAGAATCAGGAGGGAATAAGCAGGAAATCCGTAATCGCCCAACCAGGATTTCGGGAAAACCAGGGAATTTATGGAAAGTTCAAGGAATTTTGAAACCCTAGCTGAGACTGATGTGACTTCTTCTCTCCTTTCTTTCCCTGTTCCCTACCTGACGTCCAGGTTCCGGCAGGTGGTGACTGAGAACGAGCCAGAGATGCAGGAGGTGTCGGCCCTTTTCCGCTCTGTCATCCTCGAGGCCCTGGACCGCCTGAGGGAGGAGCAGGAGGCGCAGCGGCTCTTGCGCCAGTGGAACAACAAGCGGGCCATGAGCACGTCTCTCATGAACTTCAAGTCGCGCGTCAAGATCAAACCCTTTGGCAGCACCGTGGGCCTGACCTCGACCAGCGGGGAGGGCGAGCTGAAGACGGTGTCGGAAGACGTGGAAAAGGCGCTGGAAGAGAGGGCTGACAGGGCCCAGAGGGTTAGGAGCATGCCTGACTTCAGACACAAAGGGCTTTACACTACCAAGACCATCTGAGCTGGGGATCCACAGGACAGTGTTGTGGTTCAGTGGTGGATGGAGAGAAGCTAGTGAGAGGTAGCCTATAATAATCCCCCCGGAACCTTCCCAGTCTGCTTTGCACAAGAATGGGGAGAAATAGGAGACGTCTCTCCCATCCTCTCCTTTGTCAGTGTGGGGTCTTCTCTATTGAATGCTTTTGACTGGGGTAATATGCTTAGAATATTTCACAATGTTTTGAGATTTTCAGACACCTTGTTTGCTGTACTGTTATTGAGGTCTTTGTTCTCTTGTAAATTAAAGAGTTTCTAAGAAAATGGTGTTGCATGCACTTTCAATGCCTTTTCAACGTAATACATGGTAGTTATTTATACTTAAAACTGTAATTAACCAATGAGACTTACATGAAAAGCAATTAAGAAGTTCTGTGGTTTTTCTCAAGCATTTTAGGAACTTTAAAGGGAAGTGCTACTAAAAACAGCTTTAGACCTTTTTATAGCTTAAAACAAACAGTAAATCACTGACTGCTCTATTACACTGTGTTTAGTATGAAATTGTACATTGTATCGATCTTCTAATTATTTACAGTTGGAATACAGTGCATCTTGATTCACATCTTTGTGTTGTCAGTCTTACTTTATTGCTATTGACTTATTTCTGTGCAAATATTTTGAATGCCCGTCACTTTCTTATGGCATTTTCTCAGAAGAAACTGCATAGCTACTAAGGTTGAGGAGCCTGGGCTATTTGCTGTGTCCAAGAATATTGACAAAACCTAGATACAGGACAAACTGTGTCTCACAATGGCAGCAATAATTCATACACAAATGGAATGGATGCTTTGTATCAGAACATTGCACATCACTACTGAACAGTCTCTCTATAACAGCAGCAGTTTATTGCTGTTGAGAAAAGAGCTGTTGTATTGGGTAGACTGTCACAATGCCACATAACAAGCTCATCTAAAATACATTTGATTTATATAGTATTACATGAGATGACATCCAGTTACGAGTCTCAGATTTGTACCTTCTATAGACGACTCTCTGATATTTAATATATCCAACACAGATGTCTTACTTAAACACTAACCATTAAAGAAATAACACAATTCCAGGGGATACGACCAAGAATTAGCTGCAGGACAGTTTGGGCCCTTCTTTAAAACATAGATCATCAAACAATGCAATGCCAGACCGGTGTTTTATTTGACAGATTACACTACAATAAAGCTTACACAAATCTCTTTGTTCTTCACATCTGGGTTCAAATTTTTTTTTCTTTCAACTACTTTCAGAGCATTTGAGCCTGCCTGGAGTGAAAAATGGACAGAGTTGGCACTTTTCCTTTGGTTCCATTGTGCCAAACAAGCTTAAAGAGGCAATCTGCAGTTTGAAACAATAACAAAGCAGACACCCCGCCACTGATTTGGTACATAGCTCAGCTATAGGAATATGATCACTCTTAAACTTATGGACAGAGCTATGGATAAAAGGACTGACCATGGTTAAAATTATAGTTTTAACCATGTTTTAAGGCTATAGTGTTTGTTTAAATGTACCTTGTTTACAAACAAAGGAGTAAAACAAGCTTATATTTTGGGTCCTGATGGAGTACAACAGTTGGTCTAAGCTCATTAGGCATTTATAAGTTATATTCTTCAAGAATAAATGGGTATATCATTTATTTAAATCTAAAAATTGATTTAGCAACAGCAGATTGCCCCTTTAATCAATCCCAAAGAAATCAAATACAATTTGAACTGGGTAGGTTGTTCATCACCAAGATCTTTGCTGATGACACCGTAAATTCCACTACAGCAACACTATCTTGCTTAGCAACACCTTGTTTAGCAAACATACAGACCCAAAAGTCAGCGACTGGCTCCTTTGATATTATAGTAAAAATTACAGTTCTAAAAATCAAACACAGACATCAGTTACAAATAGTCTGCAGAAAGGCGCCGACAACCAAGTCACAGCACATTTTTTTTTTTTTTTTTTTATACAAGAGATGCATGTCTGAAATTCCGAGACATGGCTTTTGCTGCCATTTTCAGACAACCTGGGCCATATCCCCAATCTCTTGCTGTGATAATAACAACCCTTAAAATGGATCTTCTTTCAGAGCTTTATCACATGGGGTATCTTTCCCTGAGTTCTGTTCTGGAAAAAAGTGGAAGATTCTGGAACGTAACTAACGGTGACCGTCCATGCATTACAACGTAGAGTTGAGGAACTCAAGCAGTTCAGCGCGATTCTTGTCTCTCTGTTGAAAAAATTATTGTATGAATATATACACTCTAGCATCAAGAGCGAGTCGACTTAGAATCAATGCATTCAACTAAGGTAGGTAAACAACCTTCACATAGCACAATCATTGCAAGTAAAAACCTTCATGGCATACAGTTGTTGGTTGTTTAAACACTGATACTCACCAGCTTGTCTTTCTTTGACTTCTTCAATTTCATTTTGATCTTCTTTCCTGAGATCATGCTGAACTTGCTTTTTCTCTTTCTCTCTTTTAAATACTGAAAGACATAATTCATTTCAAAATGACAGCTTTCAGACAGCTTCAAACTACTGGTATGGCTGTAGCGCACCGGCTTTAGGATAAATAGTCCCATAAATGTATTCTACCTTGGAGATCTGAATAGGTCCAGGTCCAGCGCTTTCCTCCTCAGTCTTCATTTTCTTGTCCTTCTTCCGTTTAAGCTTCTTCTCCTTTTTCACTTTCTATTAAAACAGAGTGTAAACAGAGCACATTTTAAATATCTTAAAAGGACACTGATATCTAACAAGGCACAGACCACACTAACAAAATAAGTAGCTACTGAAAACGAATGAATATTTAAAGAAAAATACCTTTTTGAGTTGTTTTTCCTTTTTCCTTTTCTTAGAATTCTTTCTGGACTTGCTGTGGGAATCTAGACAGGAGATTGCAAAATCTAACTGAGACACTGTCCATCAGGCTTTGACTACTATTTGTTTTAATAAATATATAATAGTACATCTTTCAGATACATATGCATCTTAACAACTAACGTACAAGTACTGGCACACTCACCACTGCTGCTCGAACTACTACTGCCAGACGAGGAGCGGGATGAGGATGATGAAGAGGATCCGGATGACGAGGATGAGCTGGATGAGGAGGAAGATGACGATCTACTGCGGCTTTTCCTTTTAATTTTTTCTTTCCCTTCAATAGAAAAATACAAGAGCAGTTTGTGTTATCCATGACTTCAAGGTACGCTCGCACACACACACACTTGTGATATCAGTTGATCACCACAGACCATTAAATTACCTGTACTTGTTGTTCTTCTTCTGTCATCTCTTCTTATGGCGGTCTCAGTACTTCTTCTGTCATCTCTTCTTATGGCAGGCTCAGTACTTCTTCTGTCATCTCTTCTTGTGGCAGTCTCAGTACTTCTTCTGTCATCTCTTCTTATGGCGGTCTCAGTACTTCTTCTGTCATCTCTTCTTGTGGCAGTCTCAGTACTTCTTCTGTCATCTCTTCTCATGGCGGTCTCAGTACTTCTTCTGTCATCTCTTCTTGAGGCTCTCTCAGTACTTCTTCTGTCATCTCTTCTTGTGGTGGTCTCAGTTCTTCTCATGTCATCTCTTCTTGTGGCAGACTCAGTACTTCTTCTGTCATCTCTTCTTGTGCTGGACTCACTTCTCACTTTGTCTACTTTGCTAGACTAACAAAAAGAAAGTAAAAGAGAACGCCTTGTAAGTCTTTTTGCATTGTGAGCCCAAACCTCTATCATAAGCTCGTCAGAGTTTACAAACCCAGACAGAGCAGCTGATCAGTAGGCTAAGTTAGTTAGTTAGCCTAGCCTAGCCGTTCATGCAGTTAGGAGTTAAGTTAAAGTTGGCGATAACTCTCTCCGGTTGTCCACCATCAGATCGACACTGGTGAATTTCGGCAAGGTGGCTTACTAATTTCATTGACAAGTTAGCTAGCTAGCTAACGTTAGCGCTCATCTATAATAGCAAGTTGCATGTAACGTTAACGGAAGTGAAGAAGGCTAGCTCGCTAGGTAGCTAGGTACTTACCATGGTGGCTGTTGTCTCGACAAAAAGAGGTGAATGCAATAAAAGTTGCTGATTCTCAAAGCTATATTCTCTATACTATTATTCAGCAATCATTAGCAATGCTTCATCGACGGTACTTATTTGTAAATGTAACGTTATGGCTGTAAGAGTTAGCTGGTTGCCTAGTTTGCTGACAACACGATGGAGCCATTTTGCATCCCACAATGCACCGTTCATTTATTAAAGGAACACCACAATATTTCTAAACCTCGTTGCGGCCACATTATTGATTGCTTTTGATGGCTTGGCAGTATATAGTCCTGAATTTACAAAATCATTCAGTGACAGATTTGATGCTCCTCATACAGAATAAACCTGACCTCTCATAGTCTATTCAATATTTCTCAACTAAAAATAAGAAGCTCAAAATAAAACATGGTATTTGGGGGCTCGTTCCACAGCTAGGCGAGGAGACGCAACGACCAATGGTTGCGTGTCAAGTCATCCACTGACAAATTGTGGTCAAAGGATGAAGAATGTTCTTCTTCTTCTGTGGATTTTATATGGTGGTTGGCAAGGATGAAGAATTTTTATGCCATGTTCAAAACAACTGGGAACTGGGAACTCGGAAATCTCTGACTTCCGACTTCAGTGTTGCCGTGTTCAAAACAACTGGAAAACTTGGAAAAATACGAGGTCAAATCATGACGTCAGGGATCTTCAGGTTGGAAAGTCGGAGCTCTAGAAAGAGGCCAGAGTTCCCGAGTTGGAATTCCGAGTTGGATGACCGTTCAAATCGATTTTTCCCAGTCTGAGCTTGTTTTTTCCTGAGTTCCCAGCTGTTTTGAACACTCTGAAGTCGGAAGTCGGAGACTTCCGAGTTCCCAGATGTTTTGAATGCTGCATTAGTTCAAGACAACTGGAAACGAGTTCCGATTACAAGTCGGAAATCTGGCATCTTTCTAGAGCTCCGACTTTCCGACCTGAAGATCACTGACGTCATTACTTGACCTCATTTTTATCCGAGTTCCAAGTTGTCCTGAAAGCACCAATAGTGCATAGTCTTGTCCCTTGAAAATGTACAGCACTCCATCACCCCTTCTACTAGCCTCACAACTTTCTGATTGTGGAAATAATGTTGATGGTGATAATGCAATGGAATCATGTCAAAGAACACACACAGAGTCACTCTGATATTGTATAAAAACATATTTATAAATGACAGTATTAATATTTATACATTAACAAATGTCATACATATTCATTTTCTGTAACAAAAAAAGTCCATGTCATATCAAGCATTTAAAAAAAAGTATTGACTGCTGGTGTTCTAAGCATTACATCTAAATCACACATAGGCTACTACATCAGCCATATGTACTACTTATCTAGCTACACTACATGGCCAAAAGTAGGTGGACAGCCCTTCAAATTAGTGGATTCGGGTATTTCAGCCACATCCGTTGCTGACAGGTGTATAAAATCGAGCACACAGCCATGCAATCTCCATAGACAAACACTGGCAGTACAATGGCCCATACTGAAGAGCTCAGTGACTTTCAATGTGGCACCGTCATAGGATGCCAACTTTCCAACAAGACAGTTTGTCAAATTTCTGCCCTGCTAGAGCTGCCCCGGTCAACTGTAAGTGCTGTTATTGTGAAGTGGAAACATCTAGGAGCAACAATGGCTCAGCCGCGAAGTGGTAGGCCACACAAGCTCACTGAACATCACCGCAGAGTGCTGAAGTGTGTAGCGCGTAAAAATTGTCTGTCCTTGGTTGCAACACAACCTACAGAGTTCCAAACTGCCTCTGGAAGCAACATCAGCACTGCTCGTCGGGAGCTTCATGAAATGGTTTTTCCATGGCCGAACAGCCACACACAAGCCTAAGAACACCATGTGCAATGCCAAGCGTTGGCTGGAGTGGTTCCACTGCTCCATTGGACTCTGGAGCAGTGGAAACGAGTTCTCTGGAGTGATGAATCACGCTTCACCATCTGGCAGTCCGACGGACGAATCCGGGTTTGGCGGATGCCAGGAGAACGCTACCTACCCCAATGCATAGTGCCAACTGTAAAGTTTGGTGGAGGAGGAATACTTTTCTGGGGCTGTTTTCATGGTTCGGGCTAGACCCCTTAGTTCCAGTGAAGGGAAATCTTAACGCTACAGCATACAATGACATTCTAGACGATTCTGTGCTTCCAACTTTGTGGCAACAGTTTGGGGAAGGACTTTCCTGTTTTAGCATGACAATGCCCCCGTGCACAAAGCGAGGTCCATACAGAAATGTTTTGTCGAGATTGGTGTGGAAGAACTTGACTGGTCTGCATAGAGCCCTGACCTCAACCACATCGAACACCTTTAGGATGAATTGGAACGCCGACTGCGAGCCAGGCCTAATCGCCCAACATCAGTGCCCGACCTCACTAATGCACTTGTGGCTGAATGGAAGCAAGTCCCCCCCCAGCAATGTTCCAACATCTAGTGGAAAGCCTTCCCAGAATAGTGGAGGCTGTTATAGCAGCAAATGGGGGACCAACTCCATATTAATGCTGATGATTTTGGAATGAGATGTTAGACAAGCAGGTGTCCACATACTTTTGGCCATGTAGTGTATCTGTAGTCAGTTTCATCTTTCCCTGCTACAATGGTCTAGGCAATTTTCCTCCTGCATTCTTAGGTATCACTTTAGCTTTATTCAACAAAATGGTTCAGATATACACTTAGTGTACAAAACATTATGAATACCTGCTCTTTCCATGACATAGACTGACCAGGTGAATCCAGGTGAAAGCTATGATCCCTTATTGATGTCACTTGTTAAATCCACTTCAATCAGTGTAGATGAAGGGGAGGAGAAATGTTAAAGAAGGATTTTGTTTAAGCCTTGAGACAATTGAGACATGGATTGTGTATATGTGCCATTCAGAGGGTGAAGGGGCAAGACAAAATATTTAACTGCCTTTGAATGGGGTATAGTAGTAGGTGCCAGGTGCACCAGTTTGTGTTAAGAACTGCAACACTGCTGGGTTTTTCACGCTCAACATGTGTATCAAGAATGGTCCACCACCTAAAGGACATCCAGCCAACTTGACACAACTGTGGGAAACCTTAACGCTACAGCATACAATGACATTCTAGACGATTCTGTGCTTCCAACTTTGTGGCAACAGTTTGGGGGAAGGCCCTTTCCTGTTTCAGCATGACAATGACCCCGTGCACAAAGCGAGGTCCATACAGAAGTAGTTTGTCGAGATTGGTGTGGAAGAACTTAACTGGCCTGCACAGAGCCCTGACCTCAACATGGGCCAGCATCCCTGTGGAACGCTTTCGACACCTTGTAGAGTCCATGACCCGACGAATGTAGGCTATTCTTAGAGAAAAGGGGGGGTGCAACTCAATATGATTAAATTGTTCTTAATGTTTTGTACACTCAGTGTTTAAAGACAGACTTTGTAATCTGAATCACTCAGTACCAATCATTAGTGCTAGGTGCAGGGATTTAGAGAAACTGACTATATCCATTAACTAACTACACTATACATTAAGAGGTTACAATAAGAAGTGAAAGAAATAAAGAAAGCTTGTGTATCCTAAATCTCTCAGTGGCTTTCTTTCTCATGCGCCATTTATTCAGAATCCATGTGACATGTAGCCTATCCGGTTTTTCATTGGACATATCAGATTTCAATTGACTTTCTGTACTTGAAAAAACGTAGAAGGTGAAATTAAAATCGAAGACACTCCACTTTAGTAGCGAGGATACCGGGGTAGAATAAGGAGAACCTTAGAGTATTTGGATGCACACAGAGAGTAGGTTAATGCAGAACCCATCCTTGCCCAGCTCCGTTCCCCATGAGACCTGGGCCCTTATTTATCAAGCGTCTCAGCAGTGCTGATCTAGAAAGGTAAAACTGATCCAAGATCAGCACCCCCACTCTGAGACGCTTGATAAATACTAGCCCTTTGTCATGGGCCTCTCACTCCACCGGGTTACCACCTTAATTTTCTTCCACTCTGCTCACCACTCTCTCTACTCAGCCTAACTAGCTCCACCTGTCCCTGCTCTGCTCTGCTCTAATTACTCTGCCAGCTGCGCTGCATTACCCACTACCTCTCCCAGTATTTAAGGCCCTGTCTTTCAGCTCTCCGGTGTCAGATCGTCTGCAAAGCTCACACCCGGAACCTGTTTGCTCGCGCTTCTGGCTCACCCTGGTTTTGTGACCCCGGACCTGCCTGTTTTTTGGATACTCTTCTGCCTCAGGAGATCCAGACCTGCTTCTGCCATTACGACTCCTGACTACTCTTCAATCCCGGTAACTCTGACCAGCCTTCTGCCTTGCTACTACGTATTTTGGATTTCCCTTGAACTGTACTGCTGCCTGGTTTCATTCCGCCCTGTTGTGTCTGTGTCTCCCCCCCCCAGGACTTCTGGACCACCCACCACCGGCTTCATAGGACGCATCGCTGCCACTGGGGGGGGCACAGACCCAGCACATTGGACGGGATCCCTGTTACCCCTGGAGCCTTCATTCACTCCCTACTTCCCTTTTCCCTTAAGTTTAATAAACTTTCTGGTGTGACGCAATTGTGGTCCTCTGGTCGTCTGTCTGAACCGTGACAGTACGATCTGACCATTATGGACTCAGCGCACACTTTCCCCGACATGGAAACCGATGAGCATGAGCAGCAGTTCCAGCAGCAGCAACAACAACTCGCCATGATCATTCAACTCCTCACCAACCTTACCCCAGCCAGTCTGCCCACCAGCCCTGCCCCCGAGTTACCTGCCCCGGTCATTGCAGCCGCTGCTCCGGAACCCAAGATTGGAAACCCCGAGCGGTTCAACGGCGATTCAACCCAGGTCCGGCCATTCCTGACTAGCTGCCGACTTCAGTTCTCCTTGCAGCCAAGGACCTTCGCCACGGAGGGGGCTAAAGTTGGGTATGCCATCACTCACCTGACGGGCCGAGCTCGACTCTGGGGAACAGCAGAGTTCGAACGTCAAACCCCCGCATGTGCAACCTTCGACCTGTTTGCTGAGGAGATGCTGAAGGTGTTTGACCTGGATTCACCCACCGCAGAGGCGTCTCGTGAACTGTTCAGTATTCGACAAGGCAGACGTACAGTCGCAGACCATTCCATCGACTTCCGAACCCTGGCTAGACGAAGTTCTTGGAACACACCATCGTTGGTGGACGCGTTCTTCCATAGTTTGGCTGACTATATCAAGGACGAGTTGGTCTCCCATGAACTGCCTTCCACTCTTGATGAAGCCATCGCACTGACTGTCAGGATCGACAGAAGGATACAGACCCGTCGTCGTGAGAGGGGGCGCCAAGGTCCACCTACTACCGGCATTCGGAGAGATCCGACTGGGCTCCTGTCATCTACTGCCACTCACCCAGGTCAGCTTGATCAGTCTGAGCCTATGGAGATTGGGCGAGCCTCTCTCACTCCTGCAGAGCGCCAGCGCCGCTTCACCTCAAACCTCTGCCTCTATTGTGGAGGTGATGGACATCGTGTGGTAACCTGCCCTTTAAAGGGCCGAAGCTCACCGGGCATAGGGGGAGTCCGGTTGAGTTCAATGACCATCCAGTCCTCCGACCGCAAACCCCTGCTGCAAGTTCACCTCCGCCTCTCTGACTCAACTCACACCCTGGCTGCTCTGGTGGATTCTGGCGCCGAAGCCAACATAATGGACATCAAGCTGGCACGCCAACTGGGACTGGAGAACCTCCGTTTGACACCTCCTATTCCTGCCCGGGCACTGGACGGACACTTACTCGGATCGGTCACTCATGTCACGGCCCCGGTCTCGATGGGTCTGTCCGGAAACCATCAAGAAACTATCCAGTTTCACCTGCTCCCCTCTCCAGGCCAACCCCTCATCCTGGGTTACCCATGGCTCCGCCGGCACAACCCTCAGCTCGACTGGGTGACCGGGGTGATCAGGGAGTGGGGAGAGGACTGCCACCGAACCTGCCTGCTTGCTGCCGCACTACCCCCTCGGCCAGTACCTACTAACTCCGCTCCTGACCTCTCCAATGTCCCAGAATGCTACCATGGTCTCAGAGAGGTGTTTAACAAAGCAAGAGCCACATCTCTGCCCCCTCACCGACCGTACGACTGTGCCATCGACCTCCTCCCTGGAACAGCTCCTCCAAAGGGTCGTCTTTATTCGTTGTCTGCTCCTGAAAGAAAGTCCATGGAGGACTACATCAATGGCTCTCTGTCCGCAGGATTAATCCGTTCATCTTCATCTCCTGCTGGTGCTGGCTTCTTCTTTGTGGGGAAGAAGGACGGATCTCTTCGCCCCTGCATCGACTACAGGGGACTCAACGACATCACAGTGAAAAACCGTTACCCTCTGCCTCTGCTCACCTCTGCTTTTGAGTTGCTCCAGGGAGCCACTGTTTTTACCAAGTTGGATCTCAGAAACGCTTACCACCTAGTGCGGATCCGGGAGGGAGATGAATGGAAAACCGCATTCAATACACCAACAGGCCACTACGAGTATCTGGTTATGCCTTTTGGCCTCACCAATGCTCCTGCTGTGTTCCAGGCTCTAGTGAATGATGTACTGCGGGACATGTTAAACAAGTTTGTCTTCGTTTACCTGGATGACATCTTAATCTACTCCAGAAACCTGTCTGAACACACCCGCCATGTCCAGCAAGTCCTTCATCGTCTTCTGGAGAATTCCCTCTACGCCAAGGCAGAGAAATGTGAGTTTCACGTCAAGACAGTGGCCTTCCTGGGGTACATAGTGGCAGAGGGAAGTATCCAAATGGATCCTGCCAAAGTATCAGCAGTCACTTCATGGCCAGTTCCGGAGAACAGAAAGAAGCTGCAACAGTTTCTGGGGTTTGCTAACTTCTATAGGAAGTTTATCCGGAACTACAGTACCGTTGCTGCCCCTCTCACTGCTCTAACCAGCACCAAGCAACCCTTCACCTGGACCCCAGCAGCCGACAAAGCCTTCAGTACCCTCAAGGTGAGGTTCACCTCCGCTCCCATCCTCCAGATGCCTGATGTGGACCGGCAATTCATTGTGGAGGTGGACGCCTCGGATGTGGGAGTTGGTGCTGTGATTTCTCAGTGGGCTGCGGAGGATAGGAAGCTCCATCCCTGTGCCTTTTTCTCACGTCGGTTGTCCCCCTCTGAGTGCAATTACGACATAGGGAACCGTGAGCTGCTGGCTGTGAAGCTTGCCTTGGAGGAGTGGCGTCACTGGCTGGAGGGGTCCACCATTCCATTTCTCGTTTGGACCGATCATAAGAACTTGGAGTACATCCGCACGGCCAAACGGTTGAACTCCAGGCAGTCCCGCTGGGCCCTGTTCTTCACCAGGTTTAATTTCACTCTGTCATACCGGCCTGGATCACGCAACACCAAGCCAGACGCCCTCTCCCGTCAATTCCAGAAGGATGACACCCCCTCCAAGGACCCTGTGTCGATTCTGCCAAGTCCCTGCATCGTTGCAGCTCTGACCTGGGCTGTTGAGGAACAGGTGCTGGAGGCTCTCCGTAACCAGCCAGGTCCCAGCACTTGCCCAGCTGACCGCCTTTTTGTCCCCGAAGACCTGAGGTCCCAGGTCGTTCAGTGGGGACATGACTCCCGCCTAGCTTGTCACCCTGGCTCCACCCGCACTTACAACCTGCTCGCCCAGAGGTTCTGGTGGCCCTCTCTGAGGAAGGATGTACGGGAATTCGTCCAAGCCTGCCCCATCTGCAACCAACACAAGTCGTCCTGCCAGCCCCCAGCCGGATTGCTGCAGCCCCTGCCTGTGCCCAGACGTCCCTGGTCTCACATCGCCCTTGACTTTGTCACGGGGCTGCCCCCTTCAAGTGGCATGACCGTCATTCTCACCATCGTTGACCGTTTCAGCAAGATGGCACACTTCATTCCCCTCCCCAAGCTCCCAACCGCCAAGGAGACCGCCCAGGTGGTCCTGGAACACGTCTTCCGGATCCACGGACTGCCAAAGGATGTAGTTTCTGACCGTGGTCCACAATTCTCCTCCGCTTTTTGGAAGGAGTTCTGTCACCTGCTGGGAGCCACAGTCAGTCTGACTTCCGGATTCCATCCCCAATCCAATGGGCAGTCAGAGCGGGCTAATCAGGAGCTCGAGAAGGCACTGCGATGCATGACTTCACGCAACCCCCACTCCTGGTCGCAGCAATTGACATGGGTGGAGTACGCACACAATTCTCTGACCTGCTCTGCCATCGGTATGTCCCCTTTCCAATGTGTTTATGGATACCAGCCTCCTCTATTTGCCAGCCAGGAAGAGGAGGTTACTTGCCCATCTGCACTTGCTTTTGCCCGTCGATGTCGCCGCACCTGGTCACAAGCCCGAGCCACACTCCTCAGATCCGTTGCCAGCTACACTACCGGGGCCAACCGTCGGAGAATTCCTGCTCCCACCTACCATGTTGGTCAAAGGGTGTGGTTGTCATCGAAGAACCTGCCACTCAGGGTGGAGTCGCAGAAGCTGGCACCTCGGTTCATTGGCCCATTCCCTATCATAAGAGTGATTAGCCCAACTGCTGTCCGGCTCCAACTGCCTAATTCCCTGAGGGTGCACCCCACTTTCCATGTGTCTAAGATTAAGCCCATCCATGAGAGTCCGCTGGTCCCTGCTGCGCCTGGTCCTCCTCCTCCACGGCTCGTCGATGGTGGTCTGGTTTACACCGTCCGCCGCCTGCTTCGGTCCAGACGGAGGGGTAGGGGTCTCCAGTACCTCATTGACTGGGAGGGCTATGGACCTGAGGAAAGGACCTGGGTGCCAGCTAGTCGGATTGTGGATAGGACTCTCATCACCGCTTTCCACCAACGGCATCCTGATCAACCTGCAATCCGTAGGGGCCGCCCCAGAGGGGTCCCTAACCGTCCTGCCCGCTCGGCTTCCTGTCCTGTGCCTGATCCTGTCTCGGGACCTGTCCCATCTCCCGACCACGGCCCTCCGGCTTCCTCCGAGGATGAGGACGTTCACTCGGACCGTTCGGAGGAGTTCTAGCCCTCCTCCGGCTCCCCTCCTCCCGCCCGGCGTGGTGTTGCTCTTGGGACTTCTGGGGCCGTCCCTTGGGGGGGGGGTTCTGTCATGGGCCTCTCACTCCACCGGGTTACCACCTTAATTTTCTTCCACTCTGCTCACCACTCTCTCTACTCAGCCTAACTAGCTCCACCTGTCCCTGCTCTGCTCTGCTCTAATTACTCTGCCAGCTGCGCTGCATTACCCACTACCTCTCCCAGTATTTAAGGCCCTGTCTTTCAGCTCTCCGGTGTCAGATCGTCTGCAAAGCTCACACCCGGAACCTGTTTGCTCGCGCTTCTGGCTCACCCTGGTTTTGTGACCCCGGACCTGCCTGTTTTTTGGATACTCTTCTGCCTCAGGAGATCCAGACCTGCTTCTGCCATTACGACTCCTGACTACTCTTCAATCCCGGTAACTCTGACCAGCCTTCTGCCTTGCTACTACGTATTTTGGATTTCCCTTGAACTGTACTGCTGCCTGGTTTCATTCCGCCCTGTTGTGTCTGTGTCTCCCCCCCCCAGGACTTCTGGACCACCCACCACCGGCTTCATAGGACGCATCGCTGCCACTGGGGGGGGCACAGACCCAGCACATTGGACGGGATCCCTGTTACCCCTGGAGCCTTCATTCACTCCCTACTTCCCTTTTCCCTTAAGTTTAATAAACTTTCTGGTGTGACGCAATTGTGGTCCTCTGGTCGTCTGTCTGAACCGTGACACCCTTAGCTACTGCCTAAACTTCACAGCCTGGTCTGGGATCAGATTCTCTCCAGCAGGAGTAGTGAGCTCCAGTGATGCGGCCTAGCTCTGCAGCAGGCCAAAGTAGCAGTTGATTCTATTCATGCGACAAGGCTTAGCACACAATATCGTCTATGTCAGTTGGATGGCGACATAAAAAGGTGTGTCGAAAAAAATATACAATGTATAGCCCTAACTAATGAGGCAAAACAAATGTCTGTTAACATTTTGATAGTGTCACAAAACATGTGATACAATTGGTGATATGATTGAATGTCAGCTTGATATACTGGTTCTACTATATCTATACTGTTTCTAATGGCTCAGAACGGTGGTCATCAAATTCAGTGTAAAAAAAGAATCCCTGAAAGTATCTTTCCTCCGAACAGTTGATGTTTCAATGCAACTTATTCAGCATCATTTATATCAAAATGCTGCTTCATTTAAATACATGTTCAGACTAACACATCCAAAGCACTGCAAGCATGTTATGGTTGAAATGAGTTTCTGTAAACATACTTTTTTTAAGATAAGAAAATCCTTACAATATTATCTCAAATTGCATTGACACCTAATAATAGTTTTTTTTGTATGTAACACACCCACCTCTTACACTTTAGTTGAAATGATAATGAGCTATGACATGTTTCCCAAATATTCTTCAGTGGACCTATCCTATTCAATTGAAGAATAAAATATTTACTACAAATCTACGGACAATGAGGACCTAGTTTGGTTACACAGAAAAGTGCAACATAGGCTAACATTTCCCTGCTGATCGAGTTGAATTAGAGATGTCTTAATAAAGGTAGCATGAACCACGATATGATTTCAATTTGTCTCATCCAATCCAATGATTTATGCTATAGTTGAAAATAACTGACAATTTCACTGCACTGGCCATCCTGGGTTGAATTCAATAGTACAACATAGCTTCTCTCCTTTACGTCCTCGGGTGACGCATGAAGTCCTGGTATGGATCTACCAATTAGATGAAGGAGAGGTGACGAGGAGAGGAAGCCAGTTAAGACTATTGAGATACAGTACACCCAATATGTAATGTGTGGTTCATGATTCCTCACTTTCCCCATCTCTAGCTCAGAGGGTTGTGGGTAATGTATGTGCAGCATAGAGTGGGAGCTTTAGGCCTCTGCTTTTTGGTCTCCGTGAGCCAGGCTCTCCTCACCCTCCTCCTCCTCAGGAACCTAGAACAGTCACATCTCAGTCAGTCACAGATCTCACAATTTAGCCACCATTTCATCTATGCCAAATCATATGTTATAAGATAGTATTTTATATTTACAAATCAAATATTTTCTGCGTGTCTCCAGGTGGTCACGTGACCTACAAACAGTTCAACGTAATACAATACAATATGCCACATTAGCCATCTATGACTAAGAACAATTTATATGTGGCTGAGGCCACATTATGGGATTGGATATGTCAAATGTTATATGAGTGTCACACCAATACATGTAACAACCTATACCTTATACCATATACCTCAGGTAGTTGATTCAACTGTAAGCTAGTGATGGTCAATGATGGATCAGGATAATGTGTTGTGGTTGTTTCTTTCAAATTCTTACCTCCCAATAAATGGAATCATCAAAGCAGTTCTGATCTGGAGGCTGACCCCAGAATGGAAGCTTCATTATCAGACCTGTACAAATAGAAAAGTTATGAACAGTATTATTAAATACATGTTTCCTAGCGGCATGGTATAAAACAAATTACATATTTTTATACCATATGAAAACGGTTAAGTCTGTTAAAATGTGATCTAGATTATTGAATGACAAAAAATGGCACTGTCTCTCTCCACCCACCTGTAATGGCTCCTCCAACCAAAGCGAACCCAAGGGATGAAGCCAGGGCTGCACCCTGCATTGCAGCGCTCCTGAGGGAAGACAGGTGGAGAAGAGAAAATACTTAGGTAATTATGGCAAGATACCCTTATTTTGAGACTCAATTTTGAGGCCAAGCTCACACCATAACGGAAAAGTTAATTATTAGACATTCAAAAACTACTTTCATATGTTTGGGGAATCTCCCACATGCCTTTTGGCTAACACCAAACGTGTTTGCTTATTTTTTTCTTTAAGCAGTGGCTTTTTTCTGGCCACTCTTCCGTAAAGTCCAGCTCTGTGGAGTGTACGGCTAAATAGTGGTCCTATGGACAGATACTCCAATCTCCGCTGTTGAGCTTTGCAGCTCATTCAGGGTTATATTTGGTCTCTTTGTTGCCTCTCTGATTAATGCCCTTCTTGCCTGGTCCGTGAGTTTTGGTGGGCGGCCCTCTCTTGGCAGATTTGTTGTGGTGCCATATTCTTTAAATTTTTTTATAATGGATTTAATGGTGCTCCATGGGATGTTGAAAGTTTCTGATATTTTTTTATAACACAACCCTGATCTGTACTTCTCCACAACTTTGTCCCTGACCTGTTTGGAGAGCTCTTTGGTCTTCATGGTGCCGCTTGCTTAGTGGTGTTGCAGACTCTGGGGCCTTTCAGAACAGGTGTATATATACTGAGATCATGTGACAGATCATGTGACACTTAGATTGCACACAGGTGGACTTTATTTAACTAATTATGTGACTTCTGAATGTAATTGGTTGCACCAGATCTTATTGAGGGGCTTCATAGCAAAGGGGGTGAATACATATGCACGCACCACTTTTCCGTTATATATTTTTTAGAATTTTTTGAAACAAGTAATTTTTTTTCTTTCACTTCACCAATTTGGACTATTTTGTGTATGTCCATTACATGAAATAAAAATAAAAATCAAGGAAAAACGCCAAGGGGGATGAATACTTTTGCAAGGCACTGTATACAGTATGAAGAATGCCATTGGATGAGCCTTACCCATCCTTCTTGCCCAGAGCGACAGCCACAATGCCAGCGATACCCCCGAGGATGCCAGGCATGCCGTGCAGATTGTGGACGCCACAGGTGTCCTGGATGCCCAGGTTGGATGCCAGGATGGGCTGAAACACAGAGAGAAACAGTTGTCTCATTTCCATATTCCCTAGTGCCCATTAATTTCAACATATTTCTAGCCATCCGATGGCAGGTTAGTCAGTCATGGATGGATGGGTGATTGTTTTGACTAAAATGCAAGTTTCTACCAGCAGGCAAAACTTGTTTAACCAACCAGAACCAGATTTTTTCATTGGGCTGAGGACATTATTTCCTCCCCCTCACAGGTTAGTGAGGATGCTGATAGAAATGTAACATTCAAAAAAATGTAGGTTTATTGCAACTCACAAGACATGTCTACGTTACAATTTTTTATAGCCATCTTTGGTGTCCTGGTCCACCTCATGGTTGTGGCGGCAGGTAGCCTAGTGGTTAAGAGCGTTGGTCCAGTAACTGAAAGGTTGCTGGTTCGAATCCCAAAGCTGGCAAGGTGGAACAATCTGCTGTTGTGCCAAGGCAGTTTACCCCCAACAATGACTACACCCAGGGGCCGATGACCTTGATTAAGGCAGCCCCCTGCACCTCTCTGATTCAGCGGGGTTGGGTTAAATGCTGAAGACACATTTCGGTTGAATGCATTCAGTTGTGCAAATGACTAGGCATCGCCCTTTCTATTGGTTCAGACTTGTGTGACTTTGAACTCACAGTGAGGAACTTGAAGCCCAGGGTGGAGACGATGCCAGCCACGAACCCGATGATCATGGCACCGAAAGGGCCGATGTCCATGTCAGCGCAGGTTCCCACGGCAACACCTCCGGCCAGAGTGGCATTCTGGATGTGGACCTATGGAAGACACAGAAGCATCTAAGAGCTATGCTATAGTAGATGATGTGTGAGATTCTATTGTCTCTTTCCCAAAGACACACAATACACGTGCACACACACGCACACACACACACACACACACACACTCAACAGTCTTGTTTGAATATAAGCAAGTCAAATAAATTGAAAGTAAGTAAACAATCTACAGCTTTGCTGTGATCTGACCCTTTGTGGTTTGAATGAAGCATTGGAAGACTCACCATGTCCAGTTTCCCTTTGTGCTCCACCAGGCTGGAGGTGGCGTAGGCAGACAGTACACAGGCAGCCAGGGAGAAGTAGGTGTTGGTCACGGCCATGAGCTGATCAGTGCCAGGTGCAGCGATGGCAGAGTTGAAACTGGGCCAGAACATCCAGAGGAACACGGTACCTGGAGAAGATATTCATGTGGGATTTAGATTTTTCTGCTACTTCAGTTAATTCTAAAATATATAAAACTAAAAGTAATGTATTAAATGTATTGAAACTACATTGAACTGAATTATTCCTGCTAGTGTCACTATGTTTTATAATACGGTGAGTTTTGGAAGTGATACACTGTATTTCCACTAGGTGGCGAATGAGACTATGATATTTGTGGAGGAGCCTCCACTTCAGCCTTCTATCTACGACTCCTCTTCCCTTGTGATAAAATGTACCGTGCAAACAGACACCAGGAGCCGTATGTATCAAGCATCTCAGAGTAGGAATGCTAATGTAGGTTCAGGTCCCCCCTGTCCATGTAATCTAATTTATTGTGATCCAAAAGTAAAAACTGATTCGAAATCAGCACTCCTACTCTGAGATGCTTGATACTTATGGCCCCCTTATTGCTGAATTGCTATTTCTAGTGTTCCAAATATACATAAGGGAACATTTTAACTATATTTTGTGGATATATCTACTACTCTCTACTCTAATCTCTAATACTAATAATAGTCGTTAGTGACTGACTACAGTAATGAATAAAATGCATTGACTTTGATGACTGCCATGTGAGCTGCTCTTACCGATCATGGCGAAGAGGTCAGAGTGGTAGACAGAGCCATCGTTCTCATGGCTGTTCCTCAGAGCTGGCCGGTACAGCATGCGGGCCACTGCGAGACCGAAGTACGCCCCAAAGGCATGGATAATCATGGAGGCCCCAACATCATTGGCCTGTGAGTGGGATAAACCACACAAAGTAGTTAGTAAAAAAAAAAAACCTTCTCCTTAGCCTGCTACTAACCTCAATCACCTGTCAATCACCCATCCATCACACCTCTGCCCATTCCCAATAAAAACTAGTGCACTGATTGGTTGGGTATAGGATTGGACCGATTCAAGAATATCAAATAGAATTTGACCCCTTGACCTAGATGTATTTTTCCCTTTGTAGATTCATCCCTAAGAATTTACATCATGATTATATTTGTCAGAGCCCTTTTGGTAGGATGAATCTTGTCTGATCGCATTTGTCTTGGGCTGTCACTTCTCACCAATAGAAGGCAGTCTCGCTAGGGTAATTTTTTTGGGGGGTAGATCAGCTTAATATTGCAGATAGATTGTAAGTTCCATCAATGTAGTTGTCTGCATCACTTCCAACCCCCCATGTTTTATATATATTTATACACACACATTTTACAATTCAGTCATTTAGCAGACGCTCTTATCCAGAGCGACTTACATGAGCAATTAGGGTTAAGTGCCTTGCTCAAGGGCACATCGACAGATTTTTCACCTAGTCGGCTCGGGAATTAGAACCAGCGACCTTTCGGTTACTGGCACAACGCTCTTAACCACTAAGCTACCTGCCGCACATACATACATACATACATACACATACATATCCTTTAAAAATATATATATATATATTCCCCTTTATTACTTTCCAACCCCACCACCCTTTCCCTACTTGGAGTAAACTAGTGAACAACAATGCTTAGGCCTCTACTTCCAGCTTATACCTACTATCTACATTTTATGGACACAGTTCATTTTACAATAATTATTTTTTGTTTGTTTTTTCTCCTGAACTTCCTCTACTCTCAACCTCTCCGATCATTTTCATGATGTCCATCCGGTTTGCTTCTATATGCCATATCTTTCTAACTGTGCTCTTTCACAAAAGCTCCCAACCTACAACCTATATACTTATTAATGACACAGTATGCTTACATTATTAGTTATCTTGTTATTATTTGTTGTTAGTTGTTATTAGTCCCATCCTTCAATTCCATTCAACACCTCCCATCTATCTTTTAACACCATCCATATAGGATTTCTATTTGCCATATATATTTCAACTGTACTGTGATGTCTTACAAAAGTTCTGAACCATTCTCATTGTTTCTACAGATTGTGAATTGAAAATAAACATTTTTGCTAAAAGTATTATTATGTTATTGATCGATTGACTATGACTTTTAAGATCACCCAGTAATGCTATCTGCAAGGTTAGCTCCTGGTAAATATTGCAATCCTTTATCCATTCCTGGACCTGTGTCCAAAAACAAGCTACAGATGGACAGTACCAAAACAAATGATCTAATGATTCTGTCTCTTCGCAGCAAAATCTGCAGAGCTGGGAAGATTGTATTCCCCATATAAATAACATTCTATTGGTAGCAAGAATTGTATATAATAATTTAAATTGAAAGATTCAAATTTTTGAATCCGGTGTCGTTTTGCGTATCAGTTCATAAACACTATGCCATGGGATTGGTACGTCAAAAATCTCTTCCCAACTATTTTGCAATCTATATGGGACGGCTGTCAATCCTTTGGTCCTTAAATGAAACTGATATACTTTTTTATTTATCACAGTTTTCCTTAACCAATTATGTTCTTTAATGCAAGGCCGACAGACAAGTTCCTTACTTTCTACCCCTTCCACTTTCCTCTTCCATTTTTGCTGTAAGGCTGCGATTCACATGTTTTTTACTGCTACTCACAAGATTGCACACAATATTGCTTATTGAACTGTATTAACTAATGTACTTTTCTTGTATAGTGTTGTTTTTCATATACACAAGTTCTTAAATGAGTGGATAAGGTTGAAGTTAGTCTGTTGTGACAGACTGTTAGAATAAGGGTTAGTTCTGGGATCTGAGATTATGGCGAAGTGCACCGACCCCCAGGATTTCAGCCACCAGATGTTCGTTGATGCCGAAGATGGTGATCTCGAGGATGGTCATGATGAGGAGCTGGACGGGGCTGGTTTTACCCAGGACTGCCCCGAACGAGATCAGAACGGTGGCTGTGCTGAAGTCTGCATTGATCATCCTTATGGTGAGGAGGAAGAATAGGAGTAGGAGGGGGTGAAGAGAGAGAAAGCGAGAGAGCGAGAGATGTCTTGTTAACACTAGAACACAACACTTCTCCACGATTGTCCTCTATCATGTGCACATAATGCCACTAATTGTAGCTTCATTCATTCTGCCCGTTCTGTTGCTGTATTAATGTGTCTAGAATTGTAGGCTCCTCTATGACTGTTCTCACTACGTGTACGCACATGTGCTATTACTGCAAGCTGATTATTGCTTTTGACGGTTCTGGTAATGGCTATGTTGTATTTACTTGAAGATGTCTTCTATCATGGGTACTATGATGCTACTGCTAGCTTAATTTATTCTGACTGTTCTGTTAGCGTACTATTTGTATTTACTTGAAGACGGAGACTTTGATCTTGCCATCGTCCAGGTGCCAGAGGCCTTGCATGAGGAGACCCCACTGCAGAGCGAAGGCGGCCAGGAGCAGGTTGAGGCCCACACTGCTAAAGCCATATCTCTTCAGAAAGGTCATCAGGAAGCCAAAGCCAACGAAGATCATCACGTGGACATCCTGGAACACTGGGAAACAAATGGCAGGTCAGAGGTCAGCTCAGTGGAGTTTGATTATTTCATTCAAAAAAGTGACTTCCAAAATGTTAACCTTTTACATTCACATGAAATCCAAGAGATGTTGGTGCTGGTGTTAACATAATATAATTGTATTATTTCTCCATAAAACAGGCCCCATGTGTTTTATTCACTCTGATTGAATAGTGAATGAAAACTGAAAGAATGACAACTAAAACTAAAACGAATTACTAAAACCCTGGGAGGGCTTGCTGTGTGAGTATGATCCTCTATTACAACACTTCAATGACATTCAAATCAGTTGACAGACTAGCAATTGATCAAATACCTAGGGCTATTAGTGGGGTGTAAATATTCCATTCATTATGTTGCTTTGCCTTTTGCTGCTCAAATGATTCACGGAGCAGCCGCATTGGACTGTGCAGCAACAGTAGTAACCCCTATCCCTATGAGGGTGTCATTGTAAATCCTGAGGAGGGAAGAACAATTAAATTAGTCTGTGAATGGGATGCTGAGAACTGAGGCACCCGATAACCCAGTTTGATGTGTCATGTCAGTAGCCTCACGTTGTTCCATTCACTGGGATAACATGATCTTAATCAAGTCTTCTAAACTTAATAGATGGTCTCAGGGAAGCAGAAACTCCACAGATAAATACATTCCTCACTATTAGTTTCAGTTACTGGAATTATAAGGACTGGGGTCTTGTGTATGGATCACTGTCCTCGCACTTTATGCATATTTAGATTGATGTATACAAGAGGACAGATACTTAACTTATAAGGGCTTAGCTCACTGTGTGTGCGGACAGCAGGATATGAGCACTATCCGAGTGTCTGCAGATAAGGATCAGGCTACTGGCCCAAGGGACTGACCAGATGTGTGTGTGTGTGTGCGTGTGCGTGAGAATGTACGTGTGTGTGTGCGTACGTACATAGGTGCGTGTGTGTGGAGCTTAGAACGGTTTGTCCACCAGCGCCGGAGGAACGATCCTAATTCTCCAAGCTCCACTCCCACTCCCACCCACCCACGCCCTCTACTCCCACTCTCGCTCGACGCTCACAAAAGGTCCTCTTCCCTGAAATTCCTGACCACAGGAAGCCAGACTCCCAATTCCCAAAAGTGATCAGTCACTGTGCGATGGATGACGGGTCCTCATCTGGAAAGTCCATCAAGGTGTGGCCGTTTGCAGAAAGTGGAAACAACAGGCCTTGTTTCCCCAGGTCTGGTTAGCATTGTGGTGAGCAGTTAGCATTGTGGTGTCAGGGAGGAACTTAGGCAGACGGTCACCACTCAGACAGTCCTGGGGAAGTGATGGAATACAGGGTGTGGGGTTGGGGGTTGGGGGGCTTAGGTGTAGCATAGACTTGCCCGATAGGTCCGTTTTCTTTTGTTGTCTGTGACTATATATGACTACTCTATGTACTCTATGTAAGCTGTGTATGACTCTCCAGGAAACATGTCTACCAGCATGCCATACCAGAGCCATATATACACATCTCTTTCTCTGTATGTGTCTCTGTGCCATACTAAAAGTAAAACCGATGCTACATATTAGGCAGTTGTAGAGGGATTGTTGTAACTGACAAGGAATTTAAGAGTTGAGGCGCCCTCTTTCTGCCACACAGTGATAGAGAAAAATAAACAGGAAGGTTAGCTCTTCTAAACAGATTTTGTCTCAAATTAGAAGTCCATGAATTCCTCACTCATTATCGTGTTTACTTATGACTGTCTCTTTCTCTCCAGGAGTGCATTGTATTGCTATGGATGATATTCAGCACACTGGACCATGATTATAATCAGGTTTAGTATTACTTATGCAATGCCCCCGAGACATCATAGGATACCTTATAACCCCTCTGGCACTGGTCAGAACACCCGCGCCCATCCGGTAGCAAACAAATAACTAAAATCTATCCAATCTTTTTCCTGATATCGAAGTCTGAACAATGTCTGATAAGTAAGATATACAAAAAGATTACAAATAGCGCTGTAAGATATATACACAGTACAAGTAACTCAAATCTATTCAATGTTTTCCCTGATATCGAAGTCTGAACAATGTAAAATATGTAAGATATACAAATAGCCTTGTAAGATATATACAAGATAAGATAGCCATGTGTTGACTTTACTTTTGTAACTGACCAAATCTGCATTTTTGTTGTTAGTAGATTGCATGAAATGTTTTCTGTTCTTTAGCATTGATTGAGGGTACTGATTGGGAATGTGCAAATAGAACAATGTGCAAAACATTACCTCACAATGAGTTGGTGGATGCAATATAATACATTCCTGCCGTTGTCAGCGCCTTACTCTACCCACTGAGACATAGAGTACTAAACTTAAAGCTTTAGAACATAACAGCAAAACAAGTCTCAGCTTTTGTCTTGTCCGTATTGGATATCTCTCTTTTTCGGCCTACCACTGCACATTCATCTTACCCAGCATTGTTATCTAAAATCACCAACCTTACCAAGCCAAATAAATAATACAGAGATATTCACTATTGTTATGTACTGTAGTAGGTAGTTTAGTGTTAGCACACAGTTAGGCAACACACTGGACCAGGAAACACTTCAACACTCCATCCCCCAGGTGGCAGCACCAACCATGTCCAAGTGCTGTGCTAGAAGGATGCACATCAGGTACTTCCGATTAATGGGATCGCCTGTCAGTGCGGCAGTTGCAAAGCCGTCAGCCTGCTGAAGTTTTGGGTGATCATGAGGCCTTTCGTTTGTTTTTTATCTTTAGTTTGGGCATTAGTGCTGAGCAATTTACCAGCATTTTGTTATTTTGTAAGGAATAAAAAATTATAAAGTCAGCAAATAAAAACAAAGTAATATACACCTAAAATATTTTATTATTTCATAGTGATTTCCTATTTTTCTATTGATGTCTACACAATGTGGACTTGACAGAGACAATGCAATATTTGTAATGTTTTGGCAATTTAATGTTCACTGTTTTTGGCTTTGGAATTTCCATTAAAAAGCTCAAAAGTCATTTTAATGTCATTATTTCATAATACATTTAATGTTGTTTAAAAAACAAATAGAAACCCGAAATTGAAAACCGTTATTATTTTCTAAATAATCGAACCGAAACCGAATCACCTCAAAAAGCACTAATTGCTCAGCACTATTGGGCATGCCTGTTTGTAGTTTTCCTTTTTGTATATATTTGTTTTCGGGCACCATCTGAACATAATAATCCACTTGGCCTCGCCGACTCAAAGGAGTCAAGGCAGAGCTGGCCCTGGATCTAAGGTAAGGTTACTGTGTCTCTGGGCTGGGTCGCCTACACTTTACCTCTCACATTTATGCACACATCCAGTCAGGCTACAGAACCATTAGGCAAGCCTAAAACCCCTAGACTTAGCGAGTACAATATTAACAGTAGGGTGTCCAGTCAGTTCCATAACACTATGCAGTGGCCCCTAGAGGAACCCCTTGGCTGGTCTCATAGGAATGGACATTTTAGCAATGCAGGATGCAGAAGCTAGTTGCTGAGGTTAATCTCTATTAACAATGCTCTTTGGCTGCTTGCCCTGCATTCTTGATCAGCCCCCACCCCACCCATCTTATATCACCTGGATACTTGATACCTTTGAGACATCATACCAGTTGGAGGCTCTAAGAGAAGGGTAGAGAAGAGGTCCATTTGGAACTCAGCCTCTCAGATGGACTCTATGTCCAACATATTATGTCATCCTTCATCCATGGTAGTTCCAATTATTTTCTGGATTGCTAAAGGGGTGTCAGTCTGAAAGGAGATGGTTTCAGGCCAGCAACCTAATTATTTTCAATAATGTTAAATGCTGATGCGTTTGGAGGTCACCAAGCTCTGTCGAAGGAGCTTGCTCCAAAATGTGTCAGCATTAAACATAATTGAAGGGAATTAAGCTTGCGTTTCCTCAACCTTCTGTCCACATTTCAGTAATCCCCCATGGCTTTGGATGAGAGGGAATCCTCAGGCATGATGACCCAGTCCCAACGCCACTGCATTCACTAGGGCAGGCGTCCGTGCCAGTACGGATCATGAAGACATGGGCAAACATCAAACCTCCAAGGCACCAATGCCTTTGAGTTTCTCAAGTTTAATTTAGCATCCTACTGAATCTAGCTGCAATTGGTCAGTGGTGTAACGTAACTAAGTAAAAATACTTTGAAATACTACTTCAGTAGTTTTTTGGGGGTATCTCTACTTTACTTTACTATTTATATTTTGGACTACTTTTACTTTTACTCTACTACATTCCTATAGAAAATATGTACTTTTTACTCCCATACTTTTCCCCTGACACCCAAAAACGTGTTACATTTTGAATGCTCTGGCAGGACAGCAATATGGTCCAATTCACTCACTTATCAATATAACACGTTGTCATCCCTACTGCCTTTGATCTGGCGGACTCACTAAACACAAATACTGTGTTTGTAAATTATGTCTGAGTGTTGGAGTGTGCCCCTAGCTGTTCGTAAAAAAAATAATAATAATACAAGGAAATTGTGCCGTCTGGTTTGCTTAATTTAAGGAGAATTGAGTATGAGAATGTAGTACTTTTTCCACCACTGTACTTACAGTGGGGGAAAAAGTATTTAGTCAGCCACCAATTGTGCAAGTTCTCCCACTTAAAAAGATGAGAGAGGCCTGTAATTTTCATCATAGGTACACGTCAACTATGACAGACAAAATGAGAAAAAACTAATCCAGAAAATCACATTGTAGGATTTTTAATGAATTTATTTGCAAATTATGGTGGAAAATAAGTATTTGGTCAATAACAAAAGTTTCTCAATACTTTGTTATATACCCTTTGCTGGCAATGACACAGGTCAAACGTTTTCTGTAAGTCTTCACAAGGTTTTCACACACTGTTGCTGGTATTTTGGCCCATTCCTCCATGCAGATCTCCTCTAGAGCAATTATGTTTTGGGGCTGTCGCTGGGCAACACGGACTTTCAACTCCCTCCAAAGATTTCATATGGGGTTGAGATCTGGGGTGGGGTGGAGACTGGCTAGGCCAATCCAGGACCTTGAAATGCTTCTTACGAAGCCACTCCTTCGTTGCCCGGGTGGTGTGTTTGGGATCATTGTCATGCTGAAAGACCCAGCCACGTTTCATCTTCAATGCCCTTGCCGATGGAAGGAGGTTTTCACTCAAAATCTCACGATACATGGCCCCATTCATTCTTTCCTTTACACGGATCAGTCGTCCTGGTCCCTTTGCAGAAAAACAGCCCCAAAGCATGATGTTTCCACCCCCATGCTTCACAGTAGGTATGGTGTTCTTTGGATGCAACTCAGCATTCTTTGTCCTCCAAACACGACGAGTTGAGTTTTTACCAAAAAGTTCTATTTTGGTTTCATCTGACCATATGACATTCTCCCAATCCTCTTCTGGATCATCCAAATGCACTCTAGCAAACTTCAGACGGGCCTGGACATGTACTGGCTTAAGCAGGGGGACACGTCTGGCACTGCAGGATTTGAGTCCCTGGCGGCGTAGTGTGTTACTGATGGTAGGCTTTGTTACTTTGGTCCCAGCTCTCTGCAGGTCATTCACTAGGTCCCCCCGTGTGGTTCTGGGATTTTTGCTCACCGTTCTTGTGATCATTTTGACCCCACGGGGTGAGATCTTGCGTGGAGCCCCAGTTCGAGGGAGATTATCAGTGGTCTTGTATGTCTTCCATTTCCTAATAATTGCTCCCACAGTTGATTTCTTCAAACCAAGCTGCTTACCTATTGCAGATTCAGTCTTCCCAGCCTGGTGCAGGTCTACAATTTTGTTTCTGGTGTCCTTTGACAGCTCTTTGGTCTTGGCCATAGTGGAGTTTGGAGTGTGACTGTTTGAGGTTGTGGACAGGTGTCTTTTATACTGATAACAAGTTCAAACAGGTGCCATTAATACAGGTAACGAGTGGAGGACAGAGGAGCCTCTTAAAGAAGAAGTTACAAGTCTGTGAGAGCCAGAAATCCTGCTTGTTTGTAGGTGACCAAATACTTATTTTCCACCATAATTTGCAAATAAATTCCTTAAAACTCCTACAATGTGATTTTCTGGATTTTTTTTCCTCATTTTGTCTGTCATAGTTGACATGTACCTATGATGAAAATTACAGGCCTCTCTCGTCTTTTTAAGTGGGAGAACTTGCACAATTGGTGGCTGACTAAATACTTTTTTTCCCCACTGTACATACATTTAAAACCAGATACTTTTAGACTTTTCCACAAGTAGTATTTTACTGGGTGACTTTCACTTTTAATTGAGTCATTTTCTATTAAGGTATCTTAACTTTTATTCAAGTATGACAATGGGGGACCTTTTACACCAGCGCAATTGGTAAAGTTGTTTTTTGTGTTGTTGTGAACTGCAATTACAAAACTGAATTCCGCCTGAATTATGTGCAACATAAAATCTTAAGGTCCCCCTTCTTTGAGGAAAACAAGTACTTCACAGAGCCACAGAAACCATAGTTTCCTCTCAATATATATTTTTTAACAATGATTTTGTCTGTTAATGATAAAGCCCAGCAACAACATAGGCTCCTATTTTTCAAAATTGCATTCCTCCGCTTAATTCCTCTGCTTTGAACCTGTAATTGTGGAGCTTTGGTATGCACCATATAGATGACCCCGCATCGCACACAACATCAGACCCCTGATATTTTCTCATAGTCTTCTCCAATGTTTTTTTTAGGGGGGGTGCAACTTGTGTTTGTACAGCTGAATGAAAATGTTATAAGGCATTACATAGCTAGTCAGTTGAGTAAAGTGGGCGTTTTGGGGGGTCAATTATGATAGTTATGGATGCAATTAGCATACAAGTAAATAAACCTATCTGCAAATGTTACAGCTTTCTTGAGAAAAGAAAGAAAGTCAATGTTGCCTTTATAAGCATCTCTAGCTGTATAATCCATTAAACAAAAATTTGAAATGAGATTTCTCTCAGATTATTTAAAAACAACCAATAGTTATAAAAGTTTTAGGATGTGACTTAACTTAAACGACACTTCAACGGCCAAATTCTTAGAATGGAAAATGGTTGGCCCAAATGCTAAGAACTGCGCTAATCTCTTTGGGTCACACCTGCCCAGCCCATTTATGGGCAAACCTCTATACTGTAAGTCTGCAAGTATTTATGCTGTATTAAGATAGATAAAAAATACACTTTTGGAGATTCCAAGAACCACCCAAAGAACACCAGACTAACATGAAATTATTTATTTGTACCAAAAAATGCTAGTGACGTAGGTAAAGTAGTAGGGGTGGGGCTTTGGCACTTTTCAACTGATAAGTCACAAGATAGACTTATCTATCTCTAAACACAAATTCACGTACACGTGCAAACACTTTTAACTCAATCATATGTCTCACTAAAACACATTAATAATGCATTTCCCTCAAGCGCACATGCAAGTTCTATTGTGAGTATGTGGATGCCATTCAGTCCAGGCATTCATCTTCCTATTTGCACCATCCATCTGGAGGCTAGCCAAAGTGAACCCGCCCAGAATGAGAGAGAGTGGTGCTCCTATGACAGCCAGAGCATCTGGCCCATTCCCTACAGAGTATTCTTTAGGTGTGAGGATGCTAGATGGGTACGTGCACAACAACCTCACACTATGCTTTCCCACGACCTCTCTCTCTGATTGTTCACAGGAGTATCTGATAACTCAATAATACCATGCCCGATGATCTATAGTTTATCCCTCGAAGCTACTGCACAATTATTGAGAGAATAGGGGTCAAATCTTTGAGACTCAACAGTATTATCAACTTCATAGCCCATCATCCATAGCAACCAGGGTTGGCATCAAGGAGTCAATACAAACAAATCCATGATTCTTCAACCGAGCTCCCACAACCAGGCTGACAGCCCACACATACAATATGTGGCACCACACTGAGGAAGCCTGCTCCCAGATCTGTTTCTGTCTTGCCAACTCTTATGGTCATTGTCATGCCAAGACCACACAAACTGATCTGGGACCAGGCTAACATTAAGGAGCCTTCAGGTGTCACTTACTGGGGTAGAGGGTCAGAGGATCCTGTGCCTTCTCCTCATGGTGTGTGGCGTTGTTGTGGGCTCCGTGCCCCCCATGTTTCCCATCATCGTAGACCACAAACACAGCAAACAGGATGATGGTGATGATCTCCAGAGTCAGAGCCAGGATGGGAAACTTAAGCCTCATGTTGGTGGCGTATGCAGGCATGCTAAGATTAACTAACTGTGTGTGTGTCTCTCTCTCTCTCTCTCTCTCTCTCTGTTTATCTCAGGCTGTCCCTCTGTCTCTGACACACGCTCACCTTTTCTCTCTCTCCCTATCTATCTTTTGGGGCTTGTGGTAATAGTGTGATGGGGGGAGAGCAACTGGTGTCTGGTTTTAAAATGGTGCAGCTTTCATGGGGACCAATGGCAGGGCAGAACAGTCAGGCCCGGGTGGTAACTCCCCCTTCTGCACTTTGCTCATGGGGATGGGTTTCCTCAACGTTGGGTGTTTACTCTTTTTAAAAGAGGGGGCAAAAACAAGACTTTGGCAAAACACACAGTAATAACACCCGGCCAGTGACAGAGACATGAGATGAATGGCTAATGAGCTTTTTCCAACTAATTTGTCACTGTCAGTCATGCTGGTGTATTTGGGTGATACACTACATGACCAAAAGTATGTGGACACCTACTCGTCGAACATCTCATTCCAAAATCATGGGCATTAATATGGAGTTGGTCCCCCCTTTCCTACTATAACAGCCTCCACTCTTCTGGGAAGGCTTTCCACTAGATGTTGGAACACTGCTGCAGGGACTTTACACCAATCCAGCTGACGTTTGGCATTGCGCATGGTGATCTTAGGCTTGTGTGCAGCTGCTCAGCCATGGAAACCCATTTCATGAAGCTCCCGACTAACAGTTCTTGTGCTGACGTTGCTTCCAGAGGCAGTTTGGAACTTGGTAGTGAGTGTCGCAACCAAGGACAGACCATTTTTACGCGCTACGCACTTCAGCGGTCCCGTTCTGTGAGCTTGTGTGACCTACCACTTCGCGGCTGAGCCGTTGTTGTTCCTTGACGTTTCCTCTTCACAATTTCAGCACTTACAGTTGACCGGAGTAGCTCTACCAGGGCAGAAATTTTACAAACTGACTTGTTGGAAAGGTGGCATCATATGACGGTGCCACGTTGAAAGTCACTGAGCTCTTCAGTAAGGCCATTCTACAGCCAATGCTTGTTTATGGAGATTGCATGGCGGTGTGCTCGATTTTATACACCTGTCAGCAATGGGTGTGGCTGAAATAGCCAAATTCACTAATTTGAAGGGGTGTCCACATACTTTTGTATATATAGTGTATCTAAGCCAATGTGTTTATCCCCGGACCACAAATGCAATTGCTATGTCATGTTATGTTGAGGCATAATCCAGTCAAACTGTAGACACAAAAAATTGCTCATTATGTGCTGTGCAAATATACACTTTAATATGGATCAAAATATATTTATATATTTAAATATCACATTCATTTTGTACAATACACATGTTGTGGCACATAGCCAGTGTCAAGAGTAAAATGTGCAGCGGTAGGACGGAGTCAGGCGCAGGACACAGAACTGAGTAAATGACATACTTTACTCGAAAATAAACAATACTAATCTCCACGCAGGGAAAACACATCAGCTCACATAAGTGTATGACACAAAACAAAGAACAAACACGCACAAAACCATGTGGGAACCAGAGGGTTAAATAGGGAAAGAATAATAATGCAATGGGAACCAGGTGTGTACAATCAAGACAAAACAAATGGAAAAGAAACGTAGATCGGTGGCAGCTAGAAAGCCGGTGACGACGACCGCCGATAGCCGCCCGCACAAGGAGAGGCACCAACTTCGGCGGAAGTCGTGACAGTACCCCCCCCACCCCCCTTGACGCGCGGCTCCAGCAGCGCCCCGACACCGGCCTCGGGGACGACCCGGAGGACGAGGCGCAGGACGATCCGGGTGGAGATGGTGAAATTCCTGCAGTAAGGAAGGGTCCAGGATGTCCTCCACCGGCACCCAGAATCTCTCCTCCGGACCGTACCCCTCCCACTCCACGAGGTACTGAAGGCCCCTCGCCCGACGCCTTGAGTCCATGATGGCTTGTACAGTATACGCTGGCTCTGATGCCATGGTGCCAGGACCGGCTGATAACCTAGTACACACTGAAACGGAGACATATTAGTGGAGGAGTGGCAGAGGGAGTTTTGGGCCATCTCTGCCCAGGGTATGAAAGCCGCCCACTCCCCCGGCCGGTCCTGGCAATAGGACCTCAGAAACCTACCCACATCCTGGTTAACTCTCTCCACCTGCCCATTACTCTCGGGTGAAAACCTGAGGTCAGGCTGACTGAGACCCCCAGACGTTCCATGAACGCCCTCCAGACCCTCAATATGAACTGGGGACCCCGATCAGACAACCCGTAGTGCCGGAAGACGTGGGTAAACAGAGCCTCCGCAGTCTGTAGGGCCGTAGGGAGACCGGGCAAAGTAAGGAGACGGCAGGACTTAGAAAACCGATCGACAACGACCAGGATCGTGGTGTTACCTTGTGACGGAGGAAGATCCGTCACGAAGTCCACCGATAGGTGTGACCACGGCCGTTGTGGAACGGGTAGGGGTTGTAATTTCCCTCTGGGCAGGTGTCTAGGTGCCTTGCACTGGGCGCACACCGAGCAGGAGGAAACATAAACCCTCACGTCCTTAGCTAAAGTGGGCCACCAGTACTTCCCAATAAGACAGCGCACTGTCCGACCGATGCCAGGATGACCAGAGGAGGGTGACGTGTGGGTCCAACAGATCAATCGATCGCGGACATCAGACGGAACGTACAGATGCCCAACTGGACACTGGGTTGGAGTGGGCTCCGTACGTAACGCCCGCTCGATGTCCGTGTCAACCTCCCATACCACCGGTGCCACCAGGCAAGAAGCCGGAAGTATGGGAGTGGGATCCATGGGCCGCTCCTCTGTGTCATACATCCGGGACAGTGCGTCTGCCTTAGCGTTCTGGGAACCTGGTCTGTAGGATAGGCTGAAAAAAAAAAACGGCTGAAAAACATGGCCCACCTAGCCTGGCGAGGGTTCAGTCTCCTCGCCGCCCGGATGTACTCCAGATTGCTGTGCTCAGTCCAAATGAGGAAAGGGTGTTTAACCCCCTCAAGCCAATGCCTCCACACCTTCAGAGCCCTGACAACAGCTAACAGCTCCCGGTCCCCCACATCATAGTTTCGCTCCGCCAGGCTGAGATTCTTCGAAAAGCAAGCATAGGGGCGGAGCTTTGGTGGCGTACCCGAGCGCTGAGACAGCACAGCTCCTATCCCAGCCTCGGACGCGTCCACCTCTACTATGAATGCCAAGCAGGGATCAGGATGAGCCAGCACAGGAGCCTTGGTAAACAGAGCCTTCAGGTGACCAAAAGCCCTGTCCGCCCCAGCTGACCACTGCAGTCGCACCGGTCCCCCCTTCAGCAGCAAGGAGGTAATGGGAGACGCTACCTGACCAAAGTGATCTGATTTAGACCTCGATAGTCAATGCACGGGCGTAAACCTCCATCCTTCTTCTTCACAAAAAAGAAACTAGAGGAGGCAGGTGAAGTGGAAGGCCGAATGTATCCCTGTCCCAGAGATTCGGAGACATATGTTTCCATAGCCGCCGTCTCCTCCTGAGACAGAGGATACACGTGACTCCTGGGAAGTGCTGCGCCTACCTGGAGATTTATTGCACAATCCCCCTGTCGATGGGGTGGTAGTTGAGTCGCATTCTTTTTACAGAAGGCAAGAGCCAAATCGGCATATTAGGGGGGAATGTGCATAGTGGAGACCTAGTTTGGACTCTCCACCGTAGTTGCACCTATGGAAACACCTACACACCTCCCTGAGCACTGACATGACCATCCCTTGAGAGCCCTCTGTTGCCACGAAATAGTGGGGTCATGAGAGGCCAACCAGGGAAGCCCCAACACCACAGGAAACGCAGGAGAATCGATCAGGAAGAGACTAATTCTCTCCTCATGACCCTCCTGCGTTTTCATACATAGTGGAGCTGTGACCTCCCTAATCTAAGGCATGTATAGGGAAGGGCACATCAACAGGAACAATAGGGATCCCTAATCTACATGCAAATGAACGGTCAATAAAGTTCCCAGCTGCGCCTGAATCTACTAGCGCCTTATGCTGGGAATGTGGGGAAAACTCAGGAAATTCTATGCATACACACATGTGCGCAACAGGGAGCTCTGGGTATGTCGGGTGCCTACTCACCTGGGATGATCCACCAGTGCCCTGCCTGCTGCCTTGACTCCCTGGGGAACCTCCCCAGCACCGACCAGCAGTGTGCCCTCTGCGGCCACTGTTGGTGCAGGAAACGGCCCCCCCTCCGGTCACCCTTAGAGCAGCACCTCCGAGCTCCATAGGGGTAGGGTCGGAGGTGCTGGGGGATGGAATGGACAGACCCTGATCCGGACGTCCGCGGGTGGCCAACAGGTTATCCAGCCATATAGATAGATCCACCAGCTGGTCGAGGGTAAGGGTGGTGTCCCTGCATGCCAGCTCCCGATGAACGTCCTCACGTAGACTACACCGGGAATGGTCGATCAGGGCCCTCTCATTCCATCCTGCGCTGGCCGCCAAGGTCCTGAAGTCCAGTTCGAAGTCCTGTGCGCTCCTCTTCCCCTGTCTGAGGTGGAACAAGCGTTCCCCCGCCACTCTCTCCTCATAGCGACCCAACGCTGTGTCGATTCCTCCCCATTCGGCGTTGGCCCACTCAAGCGCTCTCCCCGACAGACAGGAGATGAGGGCGGACACGCTCTCGTATCCCGAGGGAGCCGGGTGGATGGTCGCCAGGTAGAGCGGCAGGTAGCTTAGTGGTTAAGAGCATTGTGCCAGTAACCGAAAGATCGCTGGTTCTAATCCCCGAGCCGACTAGGTTAAAAATCTGTCGATGTGCCCTTGAGCAAGGCACTTAACCCTAATTGCTCCTGTAAGTCACTCTGGATAAGAGCGTCTGCTAAATGATTAAAATTTAAAAAAATTAAAAAAAAAAAATGTAGAGCTCCACCTGGAGCAGGAACCCCTGGCACCCGGCAGCCGTCCCATCATATGCCCTCGGGAGCGAGAGCCGAATCCCACTGGGTCCAGGTGACGGAGGGGTGGACATTGGTGTGGGTTGACCTGAAGATGATGGGGTTGTGGGAAAACCCCCTCTCTCCCATCGCTCCATGGTCTGCAACA